TGTTTTATGTTCCATGCTTTTCAGGTTATAAGTAAGAAATGATGTATTTTGGGAGCATACTTTTGACAAGACCGACTAAGTTCATATTCGAGGTTTTTGTAAAAGATGTATTTATCAAAATTTGGTTATGATGTTAAACTTGTTTTATATTGTAAAAATTTGAAATGTGTTATTTATTAACGGTTGCTGTGACTCGCTTACCTGTTACATCTCGTGTTTCCACTTTAGCGGGATGTGACATATTTGGTATCAGAGCCACTGTTATAGAGAACGCTGGTTTTCCTTAAAAACCATCGACTATAACCAAAAAAAAAATTTCAAAATGGTTTTCGAAGTAATTTAGAATCATATGATTTTAAAAGCGGGTAACATTATTATATAACAAATCCTGATCACCTTTGTTTATGTTTGTCCACTTTGATCAATCTTCAAGATAAACCTTCATGAATCAATGGCAGATCTGGATAATCTTGTAAGAACATAATAAGAAGATGAGAGAGAAAGTCAACTTTGGTCAAACTCTATTATACGTAATATGATTTACAAATAAGCTCTCTTCCTACAATTACAAAGACTAACTTCTATTTATATGGTCAAACTATTAAAGACAAGTCAAAGTCAAACTCCTATAAGAAAAGTCAAACACGCTGACTTTTATAATTATAGACTATATTTAACTTTCAAGACGAATACAATTAATACAGATTTTCAGTTCTAACAGTTTAATTTACATATAATAGGAAGAACATAATCGGTTGTACTAGAGATATGCTCCAGTAAAAAAATTGTTATGAAAAGCATGATTTTATGTGTTGCATAAATTATGAATATCCATTGCCCTATACCGAACAGAGGTGAAGAATTAGAAAATTCTTTATTTTGTTAAGTGTCCATGTTGGACCAGAAGCGCTGGTTAGAAGGACCAGATGTAACATACCAGTTACCGAACCACAATTAATGGATAGATCTAAAGCTAAATTTCAAGTTCAACCTCAACAAAATACGGGATACATATATATATATATTTACCATCAAAAGATAAGTTTTAGATCAACATTTACATCTAAAGGGCCGAAAATATTCATCGAAAAACATCAACCCGGAAAGAGTGACAAATACTATCCAAAAGCATAAACTACCGTCAACCAAAATATGACGTTCTTCGATTCCAACACGAACCATTAACGATCTACAACTTTATCTTTACTCTTAGCTTCTTTTCCTGAAAGGTTTACCACTAAAAGGATAAGCTAACAAAGCTTAGTGAGTTTAAATGGATATCATGCACATCATGACTCATGTAAGTACATTTATAAGAAAAATCTAGAAGTATAAGAGTCAATATTCATCAAAAGCATGTGTTAACGAGATATAGAATT